TGAAAGCCCAACTAAGTGAACTTGAACTGACCCTTCACTGACACAAGTTGCCCTTCTGTACAGACATGCTTTGATGGTTTAAAATAACTCCGAATAACTCGCTACATTTGTATCACCTAAATTTGGGTGCAACATCAGTATGCCCTTGGCACCAACTGCCTCTGAGCTGGACCACAAGAAGTCTCTAGGGCCGTAAACAGAAGGGTTCAAAGCCGTGAGTAGCAGGTTGATACCCTCAATTCACAAGAAACAGGATCCTCCTATATGCCTGGAGTTTCCCCACTGGTTTGTAACACTGACTCCGCCCACTGCTCTGGCCTGCTGAGGTCATTTGGAACCTGAGTGCATCTCTGAGGCTCCCCATTTCCCCTCGTATATTCATATTCATACAAGTCACCCATCAGTGGACACGCAGGGCAGACCTTAAGGTGGCATTTTACAGTGTCCCCGGCTCCCTTCTGAAGCATGGTCTCAACCTGACCGCAGATAGAAACACTCAGAGGTCCCGGTGGTCCCGATGCCCAGGTTGCAGCCTAGCACAGCACAAGAGAGTCTTCAGGCTGGGGTCTTGTCATCTCTGGCTTTTCTAGCTCCTTGGGGGATCCCATTTTGCAACCAAAGTATTAGGCACTGCTCTGAGGCATTGTGCATGGCCCTGCTCCACTGTGAATCACTCATTCAGATTTTCTTTTCCAAAGAAGCACAGTTTTTCGTCTTCTCTGAAGTCTTCAGGATACCACCCATCTCGGGTTGAAGCGCACACACCTCTTACCTCACGCCCCTGTATAGTAACAAACAATCTCATCCCAAGCCATACTTTGTCCTTCTCACCTTGACAGACTCCCACTGACCCCCAGATCTACAAGTGACGCCTGTTTTTTAAACATCCCGAGACCATCTTTTCCAATCCCATGGAGGCTTCTCCAGACAGACCTCGTGTGTTCTCTAGTCTAAGGAATCTCAATTTGTTCTGCATTTGAAAAGTAAAACTAAAGACTCTAGTCCTTCTGTTTGGCCATAGTTCCTCAGGTTTAGACAGTTTTTCAGCAACTTATCCACAAATTCACATTTAAAACGAGTTTGGTTTCCATGTGGACTAGGCTTGAGGAAAGTAAAGCCTGAGTCGATTCTTGGGTCTGTGCACTGACTTTAACTGAGTTGAAAGGGGTGAGGACGAGAGGAAGAAGAGGGGGATGAAGGGAGAGGGAAGAGAGGGGGCGGGCAAAGAGCATGTGGGAACACTTGGCTAGGTAGACATGGCCAGTGTCACTTAGAGGCGGAAGCAGGTAAGGAGCCCAACCCGGAGCACTGTGTCAGAAAAGAGTGTGGCCTCATCCCATGGGACTTCCCACTGCTGGTGGCCAGGAAGACTAAATGGCTCTTGTTAGGGTCTTCCAGACAGTTTTTTTTTCTGTGTGATCCTTGCAGATGGGGTTTTCATCACTGAACCTCTGAAACCCTACAGCATACCCCAAAAACTTAATGTTTGATGAATGACTAAAGGAAAGAAATGGTTGGTTTATTTATTTAATGTAAGAGTCAACACTGCTTCTATTCTTGTTCTGGAAAAAGAAAAGCCAGCTCTCTGCCCAGTTTGTGAGGTCATCTTCATGTCCCACTTGCAAAGGCGGCACTGCCTGCCAGGAGTTATTTTTAACGTTCTACTCCCTAGCTACTGAATTCCAGTTCAGACATCGAGTGAACTGGCTAAAACACACAGGAAGCTAAATTTAGCCTAGAGTGCAGCCCATTTCATCCTGACATCCCCTCCAGCCCTCTTAAAAACATCCAATGGCAGATTACAACGACTTGGAAAAAATCCTCCAGTATAAAGTGAGGGGCACGCTCAAGTTGCCCCATATTCCAGGAGCGCTCTAGAAATGGATCTGATGACCATCCATTTCAGGAGCATAAGACAGTGCGGCGCCTGCACTTGGAACTGGAAACACTTAAGGTTGCTGCTGGAATGAGCAAGGGGGCTGTAGCTCATGGCCAAGCCCCTCCAGCCACACTGGCTCTCATCAGTGAACCCCTGGCCCTCTGCACAGCCAGCACCCCCTGTCTACCTGTGTGGAGGCATCCCCAGTGGACAGACAGACAGCCATACCCTATATCTAGTATATCTTGAGATCCTCCTCTGTGAAGCAACTAAGTCCAAGCATCATAGGCATGTGGTGGTATTGTGTTCCCCAAAATATTGTGTACTCTAAAAAATTTATAGGAGGTCAGAGAACAGACAGCCACTAGATACAAAGGCTAGAAAATGGTGGCACTCACACCTTTAATCCTAGCATTCCAGAGATAGAAATCCCTCTGGATCTCTGTG